ATACTACATTTATCCATTTTAAATAAACTAACCTCACTCCTTTGTAACAACTAAGGCAAAAATGTAATTAATTCAGAAAATCTTTTCAGGACCCCATCTTAATGTTTCGGGACCCCACTATGGGTCCCGACCCCAACTTTGGGAAACACTGGTCTAGACTAACATAATGAAAGTACTTTTTTACACATCATACATACCAATCATGTCAGATTCKGCTTCATTATCTGGCAGGATGCCAACGAGCGCTGTCTCCCCAATCATTGCAGCAACTCGYTCTTCATGTGGAGTCAGCTCCGGTAACCCTGGGCCTCCACCTGTGGCTGAAACACTCTGGCGATGTGCAGCAACCCTCTTCTTCACATCCACCTTGATGTCGGACCATTTCTTCTTAATTTCTGACAGTGATCTCATTTGTGCTCCTGCCGCGTTCACTGCGTTTTCTATTTTCTGCCACTCATTTCTTTTCAATTTATTTGTAATTCCAGAGGAGTGACTTCCAAATAAAATCTTTTTTCTCACCTCAACCTCTGAAACTAACACTTCTATTTCACATTCAGTGAAATTTATTTATTTATTTTTTGGTCTTGCTTTATGCTTTTGCCATGGTTATTTGGGTGAAGGGTGGGAGCCTGCCTTGAATTTACACAAATTTTCATATTTATTTGTGGGCGGGGTCAAGGCGGCCCGAGCTGCGCCAGCAGCTGCTCTCAATTTCACACAAATTGGGATGTATGAAGGAAAGTTGCGCAGAAACCTGCGTGCGCACAGTCTCATACATCTGATTTTCTTTGGTGCGGCGCACTTTTCTAAATTTGTACCTACGCCAACTTTTAGTGTGAAAGCTGCGCAATCCTTTATGCATGAGGCCCCAGATCTAACATGTGGAACACTTAAAAAGTACTAAAAAAGACCACTGGTTTGGTAAATTTGTATTAATATGATCTTTTTTATACAGTATATAACTTAGCACAAGAAGTAAGTAAATTTGTGTTTTGGTAGATGATTTCTTTCTTGCAACAATACATTGTTGACAATAAATCTTATACCACTGGAAAAACTTTTAAAGGTAAAAAGGTTCATTGGCTCATTGACAGGTGGTACTCTCTATTGTTCCAAGATGGAAAGATTAGGACTGATCTGAGACACACCTCAGAAAAGGGTTGAAAGAGGGACTTGTGGAGAAATTCAGACCAAAGCATTGCAGTTCCAATTAATATAGACCCCAACTGAATGATTTAAATGTGAAAAAGAAGGATTTGAATTACATACAACGGGTAAAATAAATATTGACATGAAATTTTCACCAGATGTCGGTAACAACCCAAGTGATCCATAC